AAAACGCGTTAACGAATTTGGTGTTAGTGGCGAAGACCTTGCTCGCCAATCTGGCCAGAACGATGAAGAATCATCATCACCCACTGCTATTGAAAACAAGAAAGACAAGTGATAGAATTATTTTTTACGGAATTGCTGTAATAAACTAATTTTAACTTACTTTCTTGCTGTGTAATAATAATTGTAAGTTATATATTGTCCAATATTGGAATCAATAAGGTTCATGGCCTTACCAAAATATTGCTATCATTTATCCTTTGTTCAGTGAAAGAATGTACTAATACTGTATCCATACATGGAAACCTTTTTAGTCATGCTGTTATCAAATACAGAAACAATTTATGAGAAAATCTTCATATGCAATGTGAAAATTTGCCGTAATACGTGCATCAATATACAGTTATTTCAATCATGGGATAGAATTAATATTATAGTTATTATTATTAGTTACTGTATACATACATAAAATCAGTTACTTAACTTAATAGAAATTATGTACGTATGCTTTTAAAGATCATTTTTACAAAGGCGATTTTTTGTTGTAACTTATAGATTTACTAAGTCTTTTATCATAGTTTACATTTATGAAGTTATGAAACTTTCTTCTCGTTTTGGTTAAGTACTCGCATAAATAAATACGGAAAAATTTCAGAACATTTTATAATTTTACGGGTGTTTATTTGGCAATTTATGGAAACTGTATTTGTAACGCTACAATTAACTAAAACTACAAGCTTTATCACTATTTGGCGCTCGCCAACAGAATTTATATTTACTGGTTTAATAATTTTCATCAAGAACAGTCGACTTCAAAGATTTCACATAAATCCTCCTTCGACGTTAGTATAATTGCTGTAATCGCACTGAGTGTATTTGCAATATCACTTATCAGTATGATAATAGAAAGAAGTTTCAGACTTGATATTAACAACTAGCAGTTCAAAAAGGCATATGAGAAATTATAGATCTATCAAGTTTAGATACACATCATTTTTGCTTTCAGTAAAGAAGTACGAATGATCGTTAACCGCTATAGGAAATTCCACTTGTTACTAGCATCTTATAATGTTAATGTGCAAGCCTAATGGTAAACTGGACCATACGAAATAATGAATCCAACACAAATTCTTTAATTTATTACGGTTAATTTATATTTATAGCAAGTTAAATGTTAATTCTACGTAAAATTTCAAATATTAGCATGAAGAGGCCAAAATAAACCTTTTAAAGTTTAAATGTACAATTATGAACGGAAATCTTTATCATACAAGTTAAGATTGTTACCATTCTTTTATTTACCAAAATTTTTTTGAAATTGAAAAAGAATTAGGAAGCAGATTTGATATATTGAACTGCATATTGAATGAACATAACACAGATAGATATTTAACTTAAGCTTTGGATAGTTACATTCTTCGTTTATCCTAGCTCTCAATGACGTATGTGATACTGCACATACGAGTATATTTAAGTAAGAATGCATGCACAGCTGTACACTTTCACAGATGTTCGCTTAACAGCAAATCGCCAGCAATACCATTTAGCGTTTACATAATTATTATGAGTTAACTAGGAAAAATCTTCAGCTTACCAACTACAATGTAACGATATCCTTATTAGATACAATCAAAACTTTGATTAGAAATTGAGTACGCTATGGAAATCACTTTACTGTAATCCGAGGAGAGCTAAACATCATTACAGACGATTACAATATACGCGCTTGCTGTATCTTCATAGAATTTCAAAATGTGCAGTATAGGACAATAGATAAATTACAATTGATAATTAATTGTAGTATTAATATTAAGTAGAGCACTCCGTCGCTAAGGCAATAGTTAATCAATGCAACCACTTTACAAAAAATCTTAGTACTTGATAAAAAGGGAGTCATATTCACACCTTATAGTGTATTAGCTAATTGCGTTTCTTTTTTCCGTACCAATAATAGTACCAATCTATCGATATAACCTCCAAACCACGCATATAGCCACAGATGAAATATAAAGATGAGACAATGATTACATGATATCTCAGGATAGTATTGTAATACGTTAAATACATTGATATAGGGACAATTAGAATCCAAAACAGCGTTGCTAAAATAAATTTGAACTTCCCAGTAGTATCAGGAGTATTATTACCATCAAATGTTTTATCTACAGTATAAAACTGGCGTAGTCGGTCTTCTTTCTCTGCCCAACGCTTTTTACACCATTCACCTAATTCTTCTTGGTCCTCAGGCAATTCGGAATTGTCATAACGTTTTATTTGGTAATGTAATTCTTCTGGAATGTTGCCTTTAAGTAAGGTCATTTCACTTTGAGGCATAGTCTTAGGATACGCAACGGTGACATCATAAACAGCATCTAATCTTTTTTCACGAAGTTTACTAACAAGAAAGGCAAAGCCGGTCACTCGTGGATGAAGACAGTACTCATACTGTTGCAAACCATGTATATTAGCATATTTATAGCCTCTCAAAGCAGATATTTCTTCATAGTTGGTTCCCTCAGGAAAGATTATAATCTTAGCCGGATAATCAATATCATTAAAATAATCTAAGGTTCTACTAAACACGATTCGATCCTTTTCCCATTTCCGCTTAAGGAATATAAAATTCAACATTTGCATACCCCATCCTACAAATATAACATGGTCAGAATTAAGAAATGCTCTAGAAAATTTAGCTTCGTTAGCTATATAAGTATGGTCAGTAATCTTGATATTCTGAAATTAGTTCCGTAGACGTAGCCGAAAGTTGGTAACAGTTCATAACATTGCCTTGTTTAAAAACTCCATAGGTGACTTAGATATAACCAGTCTAAATTCTAAAGACATACACGTATAGTATTTTGTCTTTATAGTAGTGTATAATACTATGGTATGAATATAGTACTATTAAGTCTGATGTAATTATTTTAAGTAAGGCGGTTTGCAATAACAGAAAGTTAGTTTATTTCCTGGTGAGATGCATGAGCGTACTATTTTTTGAAATCGTTATACAGTACACTATTAGATGAAGTACGAGTAGTACATCAGTTACAGGATAGCTAGAATCTCGCATTATACTACCAATTGGAAATGATCAATTTTATATTGATTCGTAAAATGTATCATATCTGTAATAAACTCTATAGCATGATCATAGCCTATTTCGATCTTGGTTGTTGCGCTGTCTATAGTGAGGGTGTAAATAACTACGGTCGTTGATTATATTTCATTATTTTATAAGAGATAGAGACGTAGTACAAGCAACGAGTTATTATAGTATACCGTAGGCTTACAACGGTGTTGTAACTTCTTTTACATATTACTAGAAGTATTACTAGAGTAGAATGCTACGATTATAGCTTACCAACTCCAGGGACATATTTCAAATCGCCACGTAAGATAATTTTGATATTTTCCACCGCAAAGTAACGATGTGAAACGGCCCAAAATAGCAACCAATCTTGTCTAGTCCGATGATTCATAATTATTATACACCTTTCTTTCGGATCTTGCGGTAAATCACCAGTTACAAATACCTTCGTATCAAAAAATACCTCTACAAGTGTAGTATATCATAGTATATGATATGCAAATTAAACAGTATTAAAGATTAGTATGTCTAAGATATACCTACGTGTATAGTACCATTTTATGCAATCAACAATACGCTAGCAGTGTAATAGCGTTATATGCGTATCGCAGCGTTATAGTTAGGTATCGATACTTCTTCAGTAAAGCTATTTAGATTTAAGTCATTTACTACAGTATCACTGTTTTATTTCTGAAAATGTATTTCCTTATTTGGATTGATTAAATCAAAGTCTCAAAATGTAAAAGTTCAAGTACTATCAGTAAAAAGTCATCATGATATCGTTTGCCGTAGAACAGTATAGTAGTACACGAGGTCTATCCTATCGACATTATAAAACTGAGACTACTAGCATAGTGAATGACACTACGATATTTCAAGTATTAATATAACTTGTAACCAGAAATGTGAAATTTTATAAGAATGAGTACACAATGTACACTTATCCGTAGCGCTTACCGTAGATACCCTATAAATTTAAAAATAATACAAAGAATAATATTAATCAATTTGGAAGTACATGCAATTACTTTAAGGTCTTAAATCATCAAAATAGAATATGCATTATACGATTTCAATTAAATAAGAAACGAACATATCGTGATAACGTCGTGATCATCGTAGTGGGTTTGAATAAAGTGTGGTATATGAATTCATTAAGGTTGACAGACAGTATTGATATGCATATACTGCCTATGCCAGCAATCAATATTTCAACATATACGTGTATCAATATCATCGAATTTAACTCTATCTATAATATTTAAACGCTGTTAGTACACATTCTGCTTATTTTGCTATCCATCGCTAATTAAAAATACCATTTAATCAAATCAATATGTGTTAACTACAAATATTGTATGAATGATAAGTTTTTTGGATTTGCATGTCGATAGGAATGATCATTTGCCTATGTAATGAATATAACATATTTAATCGACTTGACTTTGCGAGAGATTAGACTATAGTAAGACATAAGATGAAAAGAGTTGTAAGCATTTAATTGAATAAATGTAACCGCTATTGAAATATCCTTCTATACATTAAAATTTGCACACTTAGTGGAAAAGATTTTACAATAAGAACGAAGGTAAAATTAATTGTAATTGATGGTCGTATTTGAATTCTATTATCATGTATAATTATTAGATTCTTTTTGAATGTCTGGTTGAATATGAATAAATGTGAATATTTTAATTTTTGCAATCAAACGACTGAAGGACTATCATCGTATGTTATTTCTGTTGATTTGGATTACAGTTTTAAATTATGTAGAGCAATCATTTGATTTTTCGATTTTAAATCCTGTACCTACTCGTCTTAATACAAGTATACTATACTGTACGTCTAATAAAGCATCGGATAGTGTGGGGGGGTATTTCGTAAGGCGAGAGATGAAAGTGTGTAAGTTGTTTACTTACATTATGGTAAGCACATTGTCGTAAATTATGTTGTAAGCTAGACTACTCGTGATGCGGTAAATAGTAAATAGGACAATCCTGTACTAATAACATATTGAATATGATATTCAATGAATATAACATGCACCATGTAGTGTACTCGTGCATACACGTATGCTTATGACTGTTCTCCAATCGATTTTATCTGTTAGTTGTTAGCAGTGTCTTCAGAATCGGCGTTGAAATATTTTGAATCAATTAGTATCCTATGAATGCTCGTATTCCACTCTATTTAATGGTCATGTCGATTATAGGAGAGGCTATTGACAGTTACTTTATGGATTAACGCGTATTCATTGCTGTTGATATCGAAAGGACTTAAGGGTGGACATTTTGTATTTGGCTTGGAAATCCTCCATTCGCATGATGTCGATGTTACAAGTATAGCATTAGACCGTTCGGTCATTATTGTAAATTATTGATTTGAATAGCTACTCAAAAATTTCAATATGGTCCATAGTAATCAAATTAGGAACAGGATGGTTTCTATCACGGAAAGATATCGTATCTACTGTATACATATATCTCTATACATAGTCGATTGTATGGGTGAGCTAGGACGAGCCCAACTGGTAAACTGATTGTGATTTACCGTGATAAATGCGGACCACCACCAATACATAAGGTCATTCCACCAGCGAAACAGTTTAGGAGAACATAACATAAAGATGAAGGCAGGAGACATAAAAATAACGGTACCACATAAGGAAGTGAGTAAATAGTAGATAATGATTAGCATGCCAGCAATGACTGAAGCCATTTTGATCTAGATATTACCAACTACCACAATGAAGGACAAATGGCTGTTTTTGACGTTATCTAACTACACTACAGTACAAACAGTATGACTGAGTGTAATACATATACTGTACTGTACAGTATACAGTGTACAGTACAGTGTTCCCTATATACCAGTACTGTACTGTATACTAACTACTGTACTGTACTGTATAATAATGGAATAATTGAGTGTCAATTTTATCACAATCTGTGAGCGATTCACGCGATGGAAAGGTCAAACGACGTACTGTAGAGTACAGTACTATACACTGTACATTGTACAGTACAGCACGCTAGAAACTGCACAGTGCATACAGTACAGTACACAGTACTGTACTGTACTGTACAGTATAGTATTGCGCAATGTCCACTGTCCACTGTACGGTACAGTGGACAGTACTGTAGCTCATGATGGCTTCCTGCCAAGACCAGAGTTCATGAACTCTGAAGTCTCAATACAGTACTGTACCAAATGGACTGCTGTGTGGTAGCTATCAATGAGTCCATAGATGCACCATGGATTAATAACATGAAACATTGAATTGTGAACAACACGGACTGTACAGTAGATCGTCTAGAAATGAAGAAGAACATACACAGGCCCCTCATTGGTCTGAGTCGAGTCCCAGACTCTTGCATGCTGTACCTCTAGGGAATAAGACTGGCGTGCAGTCTCTCTTTTTGGACAGTACTGTACATCATACCATTCATAGTATCAGGCTGAGTCATGGCTGAATGGCAGACTTGCAGTCGTTGTTGATTGCTACGTGTACAGTACAGTACAGTACAGTACAGTCGTAAAGTACTATAGTACTGTAAATACTGTACTGTAGTGTACAGTACAGTATTGTAACCCTACTGTACAGTACAGTACTGTACACTGTAAATAAATACTGTACAGTACTATACTGTAACTAGTACTGTCGGCACGGTACCCACAAATGAGTGAATCAACACGCTTGCGCAATCATGGTGTCCCAAGTAAAGCTCATCCGTTCTAACCAATACAAACTTGTTAACATGAAGTCACTGGTACAGTACAGTACTGTATGAGAAAGCGTCGAGTATGAATGGACACTTTATCCTTACCCGTAACCACGAACTACCATACCGCAACAATAGTAATCCTGCTGCGCACGCATCACTGTGTGTCTCTTCATCCATTTCTCTCTACCGTACGGTACCACCAGACTCAGGCTAATAAGCATCACCCGACTACAGCGTTACACCTCATAACTTACTCTACAGTAATTAGAACAAAGACAGCTCATTACATCGACGTGTTTTTTTTGGAAGGGGAAATGCAAGTTATTCATTTTATTTTATGAAAAAAATAAAGTTCAAGAACTTATTGGATGGAAAGCTTTGACTTGGAGTCACTTAGAAGAACGTCGAAATTATACTAGAACAATTACGCCAAAGATACGTTGAAGACTTTGAATTTTCTTGTAAGTGACTATTTTGTGTCAATCCAGTGAAGTGATGACTTTTACACTAGCAATTGAAACTTTGAAAGATTCTCCTTTGACCATTTCATCAATCGCTGCTAGCATGCAATACATGACTTTATTCACCTACAAAGTTGATGCAAGTCCATGAATTTATAGATGGACATACAACAACCTATGTACCTTCGATAGGGATGATAGCAGTAGGGTGATAGACCATGAAAGGATATTTTTCTTTGATTGAAAGTCAGACTTTTTGCGCAAAATCCATGTTGATCAATATCTCTCTCTCTCCTGACTGTATTGTACGGGACTTGGGCTTATACCAAGTCACTGAAATGAGTGAGTCTGCGGTAAAATCATAAAGAAACATGATTCATACGTCAACATGTGTTGGATACTATTTTATACCCTGACTTTCAAGACTTCCAATGGAGGTGAAGTAGCCCAGATAGCTACCAAATTGCAAGATGTAGCTCTCTATTGGCTAATATAAGGATGCGATGAATGAGTTATTACTGTACTCCATCTTTTCTTATTAATGACTCCGATTTGCTAATGCAGTATAGGACAAGGATAATGGAATGATCCGATAATGACAGACCATGACAATAAAAGAAATAAAATAACTCACTCGGTTTAAATCATTCATGACTTCATTAGAAACTACAAGTACGGCAATTATAAGTCAAAGACGTAGTATTTTTCATGCCGAAAAATAGAATATTCTTCTATTTTCGGCTTACGCACTGCATCCAAGTTCTCTCCCCCATACAGTCATACAGTACGCCGAGTACGGTGTATCGCTAATCGGTCTGACTCAGCATTCCATCTACTGCTCTCTACGGATACAGTCAATTAATATGTGTACAATCACCACATCGCGCTGTAATGGCACTTTTCTACGTCAAAGTCAATCCATGCGCGAACTCATATCTTTTATCCATCGTTAGTGAAAGTAGATTGGTACATTGAAAGTTAGTAACTTGTAAACTGAATTTGGCCGTAGACTCCTAAATAATCGAAGATTTAGGCTTAAGAGAGAAGCCGTATTGTACTTTCAACTGTTTCTACGCGTATAGTAATGCAGGGCTATACACTTTCGATATCAGAGGGGTAGACTCCACTGAATGTTCAGCCGAAGTTTCAGGACTATGTTTCCTGTAATTAAAGTACATGCTACCATACAGTAGTTACTTAATGGGTCGGTAGTTAGAAACCCGACACAGATAATTATAGTTCTGTGTTGAATATTTCATCGTCACAAAGTTATTTATGTACATTTCCTTAATGCAGTAATTCGGTTTCCTTAACGACGACTGCTGCTTATTCGATCTTATTTTTATTGAGCGAATTCATTCTAAATCAAGTTGTACAGTAGTAATAGACTTTGTTATTTGGCATACTACCCTAACAGAATACATCGCTAATTGTGATTCAAATAATGTTAGAATCTTGAGCCTTTAAAGACGTCTTTTATAACGAGTACTGAAAAAATACTGTTGTTTCGGTTCTTAATAGCATAGACTACACTAATAGAACAACTAGAATGAAGGGGATATTGTATACGAGTATTGTGCTTGAATTTTAGGCTTAAAGTATACTGTAATATCGTAATTACACAAATAGAATAACTAACATGGAGGAGGTATCACATCCTATATAAGTCCTGTGCGTAAATTTTATAGTTTATAAGTATACTTTTAAATAGTTACATATCATACACTAGGACTTCCTAATTGTTAATTTTTGAGTAAAAGTACATTATTGCTTCAAGAAAAACACTGTACTGTACAGTACAGTGTATACAATAAATATCGTCATTACCACAAATGCGCTGCTTCTGAATCTATCTTGACATGAAAATTCTTTTTATAATAATCTAGTAAACTAAGTAAGTGATGAGGAAAATTGTTATAAAATTGCACGCCACAGTATTAAATATGCCTATGTAAAGAGCTATACTAGTAGTATTTTAGTAGTCTAGTAACAACATACGAGGTTCAGTTCGATGAAGATTCCTTACAAAGCATAGCACTGCCATGGCCCATAACGATAGTCATGGACTCAGAGTTAGAATAATGCATGTGCCTTAGTGCTCAGACTGTGGTGCAGATCAGATCAATCATAACTCAATGTGATTTTTTTTTCGTCTTCTAATTACCTTTAACTCGATGCAACCCCTCAAATGAAGTTTACTTTCCATTTTCACTATAGGAAAAATATGAGTAGCCTAGACGTTGATCCTGACACGTTATTGGAATGGCTGAACTCTGGCCATGGTGACCAGAGAGACATGCAATTAATTGCTTTAGAACAGCTATGCATGTTGTTGCTTATGTCAGATAATATTGATCGATGCTTCGAAAGGTAAGCTATTTCCTATTAAATCAAGGAACGTAAATTTTTCAGCTAGAACGAGGCATATCACTTCACTTCCTGCACATTATCTCGTAGTGATCGACATTAAAATTTATACTTTATGCGCTTTTATTCAATTTGCTGTACAGTACCATAAATTGCTATAATTAATGCTTCTCAATCTTAACGAACTTTCAATACCAAATTTTTTCGTAGTTGCCCTCCTCGAACATTCATCCCAGCGTTATGTAAAATATTTCTTGATGAATGTGCTTCTGAATCTATCTTGGAAGTTACTGCTCGAGCAATAACCTACTACTTAGATGTTTCTGCTGAATGCACCAGACGTGTTGTAAGTGTAGAAGGCGCTATTAAAGCAATATGTAACAGATTAATTATCTGTGGAGATCTGCAAGAATCTAAGTTGGCTAAAGATCTAGCAGAGCAATGTGTTAAGGTTAGTATTGTTATCCCGTAATTGCAAATAAGTTTCCCCTAGTTAGCTTCGTTGCTTGTATAGTAAGTAATTATAATATTTAAAAATAATCAAGACCGCTCATTTTCCTTCTATTTTTCCCGTATGCATGCTATACGTTGCATATCTCGCACCGTGAATAGGTCTTAGAATTCCTTTCCTCGCGAGAATCAATTGCTATATACGAAGATGGTGGATTATTTTGCATGCTTTCGTTTATTCGGATTAATGGAGCGGTCATTCATCGCGATACACTACATTCTGCAATGCAGGTTGTATCACGTCTTTGTAGTAAAATAGAACCGCAAGATTCCATGTTAGAAAATTGTGTCGAATCTTTATCAAATTTACTGCAACACGATGATCATTATGTACGTAATATAGAGTTAAATAGCATCTACAATCACTTACACGAGAAATTGAAGTCAAAGATTAATGCCACAATATTACTAAACTTCTCTACAGGTTGCTGATGGTGCGCTGAGATGCTTCGTTTCGCTATCAGACCGTTTTACGCGTCGAAATGTTGACCCTGCTCCTTTAATTTCCCATGGTTTAATAGATTTATTACTGGAATCCCTTATGCAAGCAGCATCAAACAATACGTCTAATAATAATAGCAGCCTAATAGCTAATACTGCAAATTCGTCATCATTTGTTTCATCCGATACTAATAAACCCAATCGAATTGGAACG